TTTTTGCCCCGTGATCAACCCAGTGGCGACAACATTATTGACCGAATTACTCTTAGGATTTATTCGCCTTCAGTCTTAATAAGTAAAGGATGTAAATTAGGAATTAATGGGCACACATGAAGACCATCCGCACACAGTGACAGTCGGGGGCGCAGCTGTGGCAGCCTTCTTGGCAGATTTAAAACAATGATACATGGTCAATATTCTGGAGGCGAGTAAAGCACTCAGTTAGGCACTGAGGAGCAGTTTTAATGGAGCTAACACCTGTATTTAAAAGGAAAATCTTTTTAATAGGAGAACGGTTTTGCAAGTTGAAGGCAAAACGATGTATTTTTACCATCATGACTAACCTAGATTAATCTTAATCTAATGTCACACTTAAAAACCTGCTGCTGTGGAGATACTCATTGGCTGGGGTAAACCTCTGAGGAAAAAGTCAAAAATATCTCTCTTTTTTTTTCCTGGGAAAATATAATGCCAGCGTGTTCCGTAGCGGCGGGGGTGAGGAAGCTCGCTTTAATTGGGTACATGTGGCACATGAAGCAGCAGGTACAGGGCTGAATCTCTGTCAGCTGATGATCAAACGCGGCCGGTAGCGTGGCAAGTGCTGCGGCAGACACGTCCCGAGGATGAGTGAGCGAGGCCAACTACAAATAGGTTATATCCACGCAAGTTCCCATACGTCCCAGCATGCCGGCTGGGATGTATGGGGAACTAACTAATGCCAGGATAGACAACTTCTTCTTAGAATCCTCTGATCTTCAGGGGAAAAGGGAGGACAATGCACGTTCCATTTTGATTCAGTGATAACCAAACCACACCTAGATACTGACGGTCAACTCATTAGTTCTGCTCCTGTCAGACTAAAACTCAAACCCTCCAGTCAGACCCACCGCCCAACAACAACCCCCCCCCCCTTCTTCCTCCCCCGATTGTCTCTTCCCCTCATCTGCTCCCTTTCTTCACACAGTGCAGGAGCAGATGACTCCCTCTCCTGTTGCTAATCCCTGTTTGAATTAAGACCACGGGGACGGCGGCGTGCTCCTGAACTGTAGAAATCCATTAGCGTCAGTGTTAACGCGGGGCCGCTGTCTGCTCATTACGCCCTGAGTGTCTCGCTGACTGAGGATCTCAGGGCCTGTTACATGCTGACGGACACTAAAGCTGGAGCTGCGCAACCACTGTCTCCACATTGCCTCAGGGAGAAGGCAGCGAGGGAGGGAGGGAGAGTGATTGGTGGGGGCAGTTTCGTCTCAGATTACATAAGTCAAAAGTCACACTATCAGGGTGAGTGTCAAGTACAAACATGTGACTGTGTGTGTGTCTCTGTGTGTACACACTGTCCTGAGCTGAGAGCTGCATTGGTTAGCAAGCCACAAGTGAGTGTCAGTGTTTGCTAGTGGTTATAGGAAACACTGGAGCGTGCTACTTTTAGCTTCCCCCCCCGAGATGGAGCGTGCATCCGACGATTCCTCTACCCATTCATACTTATTTAATAACACAGAGCTGACTTGGGGAAGATTAAGAGGATACATACAGTATGACAGTGTTTATAAAAGCGCAGGAGTGAATAATGAATAAAGATTTATCTGGATGGCAATAGCAGAATGTTATGTTGTTGACGGATGCGTCAGGGATGCTAGAGAAATAATCAAGAGAAGCTTGCTAAGTAAGAGTCCCAGATACTTAGAGTACACCGGAGGGCAGCCCGGTAATGCATGCCACCATAATGAAGCTTGTAATGTTTTCTTCAAACTGCTGTACTCTAACTGTTGTTTTCTTCATTTCCTTGTCTTAAATTGTAGCTTAGGCCCTCTTAGCCACCATAACCTGCACAAGAATGAAAACAAATACTGTTGTTCAATCAAAGACAAACAGAAAACCCCCCTATTTGATGTGGTTTTAGCAGGAGATTGAGGCATTGGAAGGGGCTACAACAGCAAACAGGAAATGTCCAAGCTGTACACCTGTGTGAATATGATTGGACGTTACTATTCAGCTGGTAGCAAAGCAGCTAAACAAGCCACTGACAGTGAAGCAGTAATAAAGCCAACGCAAGCCCGACTCCAGCACTCCCTAAAGTAATGGTATGCTCCATTAGAATCAGATCTTCCTAACAACTTCAGATACAATACAATGCCACATGAGCCTGCAGTGATGAAGGATGTGAACAGACCTAAACCTCACACCAGTGTACTAAGCTGTAAACCTCTAAAGCATACATACTACGCTTTTAGGGGCCTTAAAGCCGAAACAGTATGAAAACTCTTCACCGACGCGCTCATATAAATGACCTTGGCCAGCGTTATGAATTATTTCTTCCTTGAATTAGAGATTATGTTTGTAAAGACAGCAGCGGGGATAAAGAGATTTGTTGTATCTGTTTTAAGTGCAGGAGTGCATATGTGAAGGTAAAATGGAAATTCTCAAGGAGAGCGCCCTCGTGGACTGTTATTGGGTTCATCGCTCCTGCATCCAAACATGGCTTCTGCAGTCACAATCTACTGATCTTTATAGCAATATTCTCAAGTGAAGGACGGTGGAATCCATAGATGCTATCGTCACTGCTGCGCATCTGCAATTCTCTGAAGAAAAATCTTCATTCCTTCAACTGATGCTCTGAAACACTGAGGGGCCGAATGCACAAAGAATGCACTGCGGCAACCACTTACTGCACATCACTTGCACCCACTATCCGCCCCGTCTCAAGGTCCAGTTCAAAGATACTTGTGCTAATGTTATTACAGCGCGAACATGCCCATAAAGAATGCATTTTGTTATTGTTTAGCATCTGTTAAATGCATCAGCAGTTTTTTCAAGTGGGTCCAGTGATATTTGTTTTAGAGGACCAATTTATCTGCATCTACTGGTGTAATGGAGCAGATTACAACTCCCTTTCTTCACCTTCCCCTTCCAAGCACAAAGGAGGAGCTATGGCAGCCGCGTACTCACTCTGTATTGAATCTGTACTCGGAAATATGGCGCATTGGTTAGAATTCCATTTCTTAAAAAACAAAAAAAACGTAGTGAGTTGACAACTTTGCTAACACTGCCAAACATCAAGCAAGTGCAACAGCTCAAGACGCAGCAAGCCAGCTAATATTACTGACTAGTCCAACAGCAAGAAGGCCAGCTGGGCGTCTGTCTGCAGACTTTTATTTCACAAAGCTCTCCCTAATGACTAAAAGCAGTCCCAGATTTACTCGGCTCCGACTGCTTTGCTCTCATTAGCTAACTCTGTGTCCACAGAAGCTGCTGAACCCAGTTACATTGCCCAGTTTTGGTCCCGGCATGACACCGCTTTCCCAGCTCCAGTTCTGGATGCCTGTTAGCATTCCCCCCCTGCCCTCGTTGTCCCCGGCCTGAAAACGTCCTCCTCCCATGGCCTCAACCTCCTGTGCTGCCAGCGTAAACACCAACCCTCTCCCATTGCTCTGAGCACCCAGCCCCGGGCGCCGAGGGCAGTACGTCCAAGCTCACTAACAGCAGCTACATTTGGCCGCAGTTACTCTACCGTCCATCAGGAAACTCTGTAAACCGACGAGAGCTGAGGCGGAGCAGCCGGGGGACACCAGAGGAAAAGAACAGAAAAGATTTTCTCCATAAAATATGATCCAATTTCACCAAAATCTGTGACATAGTTGGTGGGGCGTGACTTAATGCTGCAAAGCGTTACGCACTTGTTCCGACCCGGAGCCAAAAGTTACACAGTGCAAGAACAGGCGTAAAGGGCACAGAGTGGGAATGACAGAGGCCCCATTCACCCTATTACTATTCAGTGTAGCATCAAAATGATAGTGAAGCTGTTATTTCAAGGTAGAAAAGTTACATAATGGGGCTTAACTGTGCGCTGTCCCTCATGCCTCTGGGCGCACGGAAAGCTGTGTCCTCTCTCACCCTGCTCTCTGCGTTACTGTTACAGTGCGTAACCATCGTCTCCGTTTCTTACAGCACAAGATCTGAAGCTGTTTTCCAGTTTTCATTCCCACATGGTGAATATCAGGTATTGTAGGCCTACCGTCTGTCTGAAGATGCTAATATATGAGGTCCGTTTGCATAAAAAGGGGGCAACTTTGCGCCATATTTATACATATTACCTTATGTAAATGTGTACAAATAGCACAGGAGCACTAAGACATTTTTTGCTTGGCAGCGCAGTTAGTTAGTCTAAATTGATACTTTTATTTTTAGCATATTATACCAATGTTTAAGTGACGTACAATACACTGAACCAGTAATGGCCACTTGCCTCCAAGGTGGTACCAAAATAAATTTGAGTAATAAACTGGAGTGGATGGTCTTGTATCAATAAGCAGTGCAGCCTCAAAAGGACAGTCTGTATTGTAGTTGTATATCCACATGCTGTCCATCACCGTAAAGAAAACTCTAATTCATTTTAGGCCTAAGTACTTCATTTGCCCAAATTTCCATTCCCATTTGAGTCTTGATCTGAGGGATGTTTTTATTCATCATGCTCTACAGACATTAGAGACTCTATGACAAAACATCTTGAAAGCATTTTGCTTTCCCAGTGTGATGTATTTGTCCAATCAAATGCAGAATTGGGATGGGATGTAAGCCTGGAAGCCATTATGTGATTTCAGCTGCAGAGAGTTAACATTTCCAGGGAAGGCTATGATAAAAAGAAAACAGCATCTTGTTTTCATCATTTTTTCTAATTTTTGATCTTTTGATGTTATTTGATGTAGGGTATAATATCACATGCAAAGCTACTGTAGCTGTGAAACAATTGGCTGATTCTGTGGCTAGGTAATGCCTTTCGTCTCAGTTTCATGAATGATTCATGGTCATATTTAAAGTGTTTGTAATAAATTCTGTTTGTAGTGGGCAACACTTAGACCTTTGATCCTGTAATCAGCATTAGATCCTTTGAGTATGTATTAAATATTCTAGTGTTTACAACAGGAGCAGTCTGGGTTTTTTTTCCCCCCATTTTAACTAAGTGACCAAATGGCTTTTAGCATCATTTATTTGCTTACATGTCAATTTCCTCCAACCGTTCCCGTGTTTGGTCCTGGACCGGCCCCCGTAAGGGAGACACCTTCGTTGGGATGCCGTACAGCCCCTGCACAGATTTCCAACATTATAGTTTCAGATTCACTTAAAAGCTTTCCATGAGCCTTTTTGAACATTAAGATTTAAAACGCTGTCGGTTAACTTCTCCTCTTCCTCCTGAGATCCCTTTTTTTTTCCTCAATGCAGTGTTAAGCAACAAAAAAAAAAAAAAAAAGGCACACAGCTGCGAGAGAAATCCGTCAAGACGAAGTCTAATCTATGGACATACATGCACATTGGTCTGTGTGACCAGAAATCAACCTTGCTGTTGTAACCTTTTTCTCAGTCTCCTCGGGTTCCGTCTGATCAACTAGGTTCGGGTAAGGAGATTGGCAGTAGCACTGAAGCATGAGAGCAATTGATCTCCAGCCCACATAACACACAACACAGAATGTGGTATAAATGTATATATTCAAATATTCAATTTTTTCCCCCAACATAAAATGTTCAGCCTCACACTCATTAAATGAAATGCTGACCCAGGTAAGTACAGATATAGGAAAAAAAATTAAAAATGTGTTTCTTTCCCCCCTTTAATGGCTTCAATTGTCCTTATTTTTCCCTGTTTTCCATTGTCTGTTTCAGTTTACATATTGTCTTCCAGGGTCCTCCAAGGAGAAATAGTTCTTTAGGTTCCTTTGTCAGTTTGTTTTTAGCAAAAGATAAAAAAATAAAAAAATAAACCCAAAAACACTGAGATCTCAGGAAAAAAAGTGCAACTAAAATGTGTCACTCCTCAGGACTGAGCCTTGTCCTACCACACTGATGTCCACACTGATGTCCACACTGCGGTCCGATGAACCCAGAGCCTCCACGCAGCAATGGCGGGTGATATGGATCACAGTTGAGTCGAAGAACTCACTCCCTTTAAAAAAAAAAAAAAAAAAAAAACAGCCTGCATAATATGCAACGTAATTATTTATCAGCTTAAATGACTGTTTTTCAGTGTACATTAAACAACACAGCTTCAGTACATGGAATATAAACAACTCAAAGTACAGGAAATATGAAACATCGTTTTGGTATCTGAGCTACAGCTGAGCTAACGGCTAACCGTTCCTCACGGTAACACGCAATGACAACACATCATCACAACGTCACAAAAAACATGTCTCAGTACCATTAAAACATTTACTGACTGTTCTGACTGGCTTTTTCTTTATATACTGAACCAGAAGGACACTGCTCATCAAGCTAACAGTGCAGCTAAAACTAACTCACCGGAATAGTTCAGAAAAGCGCGAGGAAAACACTCCGTCGGAGTCGCTCCTGTGACATTTCTATCACAACACTCACAAAATATCACCGTTTGACCGCCAAATGAGGACGAGGTTTCTCTCTTTTTTCTTTTTTCTTTTTTCTTTTTTTTTCTGTCGCTCACCTTCCCACACACCGAGAGCTGCAGGTGATGCATTCAGGTAAGCTCAGAAGTTCCACAACCAGACGAGAAACAACTGAGATGCATTCAAAGGTTCTGTAAATGACAGTACTTTAAAACTAACCAGGGTTACACTGTATTTTCATTTTCTGATATGAAATTAATGTCACACTATATATTACTCTGCAATAAACAAAATAATCCACTATTTTACATCCTTCTGACCGTATTGATGCACACTTCTTATTGTATATGCATCTGCCTGAGCGTTTTTACACTATAGCCTATCACACAACTCTTAATTGCCTCGAATTCATCAGAAATTTCTCCTATTCTTGCATCATAAGTGCTTCTGTTCCACATCATTAACGCGCACAGCTTAAACACACTTGTGCCGCACGGTATACACATGTCGCGTTGTGTATGTTTGCACGTACACACCATTTCCTGCTGAGATTTTCCTAATGAGCTAATCCAACTTTCACTCATGATCGCAGCCTCATTGCACGTGAATCACCTCTCCCCTCTTTTTTTTTTTTTTTTCCGCCCTCTCTTGTCTCTTTTCCCGTCTCGGAATATGAGCGTACAGTATTTCACCACCACGGCCCATTTGTCTGATCCAATCTCTGTCCCCGTAATTGAAACTTTTATTGAGATGAAGGGGATAATAGTTGTAAATGTGCTAACTGGCGCCTCGCACCCGGACGTGATGTAAAACCATCCGAAGGCATAAAAAAGTCCAAAGTATGAAATGCTGCCCACTCTCATGTCATGTATCACGCCGCACCATTAGGACACTCACGACTGGCTGACTGTGCTGTATGGCTCAGCCTGCCTCGCCGTCGCCGGGTGCAACCGAGGACATGCCCCATTATTAATAAGCACCTCGGTACACAAGACGCCGCTCGCTGTTACAACTCTCTAAAAAGTCTGCCTTCATTACTTTTAAAAAAGGAAAAGTGGATGTGCAGCGCATCAGCCATGCAAATTCAATCATGGAACATATGCCGAGACATTTGTGTGATTATAATCAAGCAGCTTGTGAAAAATGTCTTGTGTTGGAGGCAGCGGCTTGATTTATCTCTCACATGTTATTCCAGTGACTTAAAGTCACACTCTGTTAGGCTTAGAGCTTGTCAAATAAAATAAAAACACACACATTTGGTGAGCTTTGGTATCAGTTATATGGCAATTACATGACAAAAGGAAACTAAAAAAGACAAGGCTTGCGATATGTGTATGTATTTGTTTCTTATTGTCCATCTGTCAACGCATTCTGACTTCCCTAACATCACTCAAACACGAGTTAATACATATGCATTTTCAGCCATGAACCAATTGACATTTGGTGCTGCTGAATATTTTTGGGAGCAGGAACAGTGTTTGTGGGATTGACTCATGGCCATGCATGCTCATTGTTATACAGGAACATGTCAGTGTGGCTCACCTGTGTGTTTTTATGAGTTTCTGGAAAAAGATGACGCTGTAAGGCACAGAGGAATTAGATATACTTTGTTGTGAAGAAAAATAAAGAATTCTTATAGGCTAAGTAGTTGCAAAATACTTGAATTTAGAGTTACATGATTTTGAAATAATTCACAGCCCCCTGACATACATTACCCCTAACATCATCTACACTGTGGCTACTATGATATCTGAGCTTGTTATGGTACCAAAACATTTATGCATCAGTGGAGCGCCTCTTTTTAAAGCTGTGCCTTTACGTAGAAATCTCGCATTGAAACTCAGTCAGAGGTCATATTTAGTTAAAAATATGCAAAACATTTTGATAGCCTGGGTCATCATTAGACATAAATATGAATATAAAAGTGTTTTTCCACACCCCCCCTAAGCTGCAGCCACAATTACAGGGCACAGGTTTCCAGTCTGATCCTTCAACCTGACCTGTCGGCCCAGTGCAAAGAGGTGAGCGTCTGAGCTCTGTACTTGATTTGCTCAGCGGAACCTACCTGAGACTATGCAGTGTGTGCAGAATCGCCCCCTTACGGGCTCCAAAAAATACTTCAAACATTTGATGGATGGCTCCCGTGAAACCTTGTGGCCTCCAAATAAGCTATAATGTAATTCCGCTTCTTGTGTGATTTCCCTCCATGACCCTGCGCGAGGAACAATCAGCAACTTTCAGCAAAACATGGTGCCAAGGTTCAAATATCCCGAACAGAATGGAACAACATGACCCCGAAAATAGACCAAATCCAAGGCTACCTTCCTGGAAAATGCTACATACGGCAATAGACGCCGCTTAAGGGTGTTTATTATAATACAAAGCAGAGGAGAGACACGCTAAATGTAACATGACATTTTTGCTTGGATGCAAAAGCCCTAAATATGCTTAGTGTTGCAAGTATAAGGGAGGAAATGCAGAGGTAGTTTAAACTATGTTGTAATCAAAATCCACACATTCATATAAATGAAAGTTGCATGTGCAGAAAATTAAAAAAATGCAGCCTGGCAGCGTTAAAACAGTTTTATTTTTGTACACTGCGAGTGAGGTCATAAAAATAGTCAGGAGATGGAGCGAGGAACAAACTCCTCATCAGGGCAATGACGTCCATCAGCATCCAATTAACCCCCTGTTTTACCATATGTGTCTGTGTCAGTCGCCTCCGATGGGCGAAACCTCGGACTGAACCACAGACACCAGAGATGAACACGACGTGGGCTGTGTGGGAAGGAGGCTCAATGGCCTGCAAGCTCTGCTGGACTCGTTTCTGAATCTGAGTGATTGGCATGATTGGGTTTATAACAGGCATATCTGCTTTACTGAAAAACAGGACCATAATAGTGTGATAGATCATTACTTTTACGGCATATATACACAACATTAGGCTAAGTTAATGGAATAATTAAAGGTTGTAACTCTGTATTCTCGGTTTAAAGCCACGGCTCCAGAAGTTGTTAAATACCTTTTGAATATTTGGTCAAACTGAAGCCACACTTGAGGTTATATTTTCAAGCTAGTATGTTCACCTTCTTGGAGCACCAAGGATTTCTCTGGATGAGGCTTTGTAAAGGGCAGCATGAATAAGCAATGGAAAACATTGTAAGCAATGTTGAGAAGTGCAACAAGAAGGACGTAGGAGGCAGCCAGACTCATGGAATAACCTACAATATGATTCAAATCGGTGGTTCCCAACCTGGGTGTCGGGACCCAACTAGAGGTCGCCAAAGCTTCACAGAGGGTCACGAGGACTTCTTGATTTTAAGAGGTGTAGGAAAACATTTCTGTGAAGAAAACTGAATGAAAAAGTTTAGATTGGACCTGAACATAAGTTATATTCACAGAGCCTTCACTCTTTGCTAAACAGTCCCATCCTGCATTAGAAAAGAACACAGTTAAAACAACCAAAAAGCTATGTCAGGGAGAAGAAAACACTGAATCTGTCAAACAATTATTCATTATATATGAGTAATATATATATATATATATATAAATAATAAAAATACATTATTTAGAATTATTTTAAAAAGTTCCCTAAAATGATCAGGAAAACTCATCTGTGATGCACTATTCACAGGATATAATATGCTTATAGTTTGAACTAAAATAAAATTATGAATCCTAAACTGCAACATGAGCACATGGCTGAGTCTGACAAAGAAAAGCATACTTTATATAGAGTTTCATCTACAACATCTTCTACCGCTCCATCACTAGAGGATGCATTCATGGACACCTGTTTTCACCCGTCACCAGGACCTGCAGCAACGCAGTCATTCTGACCATTTAACAGACGATAACTTTGTGGAACACAAAACTGCATTAAAAACGATTAAATTAAAACGAGCTTGTGTTCAGTTGTTTGGTAAAGTTGGCAGATAAATCAACTTACTCTGGGCTAAAATCAAAGACTCTCGGGGGACAGGGCTGAGTGGGAAGCCATTTCACGCTGCATCAACCTCATTTAAATGGCATGTGGCATACCATACAATACTTTTTTCAAAACAAAATTCTTCTTAACCCATCAATAAAGGTTCAGTACCACGGAGTATTAGGAGGGGAGGGGGATTAGGAGAATAAAGTCATAATATTAGGTCTACGAGAATAAAGTCGTAACGTTATGAGAATAAAGTTGTAATATTACGAGAATAAAGTCGTAATTTTATGAGGACTGTCAGCCTGTTGGCTCAGCCAGCAAAACTGTTTAACAATGAAATTATCAATACGTTAGTTTACATGTTAACTGTACGGTACGACTGAGACTGCTGGGCTCAGGCTGAGGCTGCTGTTGGTTGAGCTGGTCACGTCAGATCTTGATAACTCTATCGAAGCTTTTTTCTCATTAAAACGATTACATTATTCTCGTATTATTACCACTTTATTCTTGTAACATTACGACTTTATTCTTGTAACATTACGACTTTATTCTCGTAATATTATGACTTTAATCTCGTAATTTCCCCCCCAAAAAAGAAAAAAAATACTTTTTCGAAATATTATCCAATATATATAATAAATAACTGTTCTAATATGTAACTGCGAAAAGGTTTAGTTAATGTGATATATAACCAGTTCAGGTTTAATTGTTCATAGTAAAGTCCTGCTCCACTCAAATTTTTTTCATTCCTACTTGATGTTTGACCTTCGCTGTGCAGATTGCAAATATGTGATGTAGAGACTTGAAGCCAGCAGTGCACATCCACTGAGAATGGACTTCACAGTGAAGTCGGAAACGTCTTGTGTCCAGCAGGAAAACTTTAAAAATGATCAACATTTTCATATTCATAGATTCTGGAATTTTCAATAAGGTAGAAGGAGTCTTTAATGTGGAAATTATACCTTTTTGTGTACCAAAACATATCAGACACATATTGTTGTTCCAAGCAGACTATTTGTATATATGTCTTTTATAAATTCCCAGAGGGGATCTAAAAATATGAAGTCATATTAATATCTCTCTGTATAAAGTTTCAGCAGATAATTTAAGCAGGTATCTGTAAACCTTTGTGATTAAATATGGCCTCTGCTGGGACTTCCTATCTACATTCAAGGCATGAGAGTCGGAGTCTGTGAA